TCGGAGAATTGCCAAAAAAACTGGCCCTGGGTCTCGTTGTGGCGGCGTCTGGTGGGGGCCCGCGTGCCGGCGTAGGGATTTGTTGGGTTTGGGGCGCCGGGACGGTGGTTTCTTGCCACGCCCCGCGACCATCCAGGTGTCGTCGTGCGTGCCGGTGCATGGGTTGGACTTTGGAGTTTGCGTCTGTGGCGCTGGACAGAACACACACGCACGGCACCAGATAGATCGCCGAGGGGCGCATACTTGACTCCGGGAGTAGTACGTACGGCCGGTGGTGCAAAACTGGCAAAGCAAGCGACGTGGCTGTGGCTGCTATCGAACACACCAGGTTCCAGTCTCGACGTGCGACTATGAGATTCAGATCAAATCTACGGCGATTCACCTCACTGATCAGATCCTCTGTCGTTGCATACGAACCATTTGCAGCGTGCCGAGACCGCAGCGAGACCAGCAGACTAGCTTGCCAATGGGACCTGGTCTGGCCGTCTGCCATACGGGCCAGTCCGCGGCTCAGCTCACCGCTCACCCGGCCGCCTCCGACGGAAATGCTTTTTGTTCTTCATCAGAGACAGAAAAAATGCTACTCAAAGTCAAAACTCCACACTTGGACCAGTTCAGTCCTTTCCCCCCGAAAACAAAGAAAAATCCACGCTTGGACCCGGACACATGGTGTGGTACCGTTGAGCTCGAATCACGACAGTTGTCTCGTTCCACACCTGTCCCTGTGAATACGGTTGAAAAAAAAAACATGTGTGCTGGGTGTGCCACTTTCTCTTACAACTAGGGGCGGCGTGTCTTCTTTTTGAATAGTTTGGATTGCTTAACATGTGTTACGTGGTCTGTGGCGCGCCTTCTGGGGCCTTCTTTTACGGTGCGAGGTAGGTATCCAGCTCTTTTGGCGGTATTTTGCGTTTGTAGTGGGTATAATACGTACACGTCCTTGATTAATGCCTTGATTAGCATGTGCATTAGGACCATTCAACAAAACACAGTATAACACAAAGGCATATGTAGCACGATCTGTAGATTTGATAGGCACGTTTTTAACTGGTATTTCTAGGAACCTAAGGAACACATAGACATATTGTGAAGGGCACCGAGAAGTATTGAGAAGAAAAAACACAAGCGATTACAAAGCAATCGCAAAAAGATAGAGCAATTACAAAGAAAAACACACGATGAATATGAACATAATTATCTATAGAAATCTAGATGGCAAAAATATCATACACCGGACTGGCACTAGAGAGGAGCAAGGACAAAGGCTCGTGATCTGCTTCTATTCAGTCAAAACACCCATTTTCCGAGAAAATTTCTGATCTATTCATCTTCAATCATGACAGTACAACGAATACAAAAAATAATAGAAATTACATCTAGCGGCAACTACAGGCATTGAAGCGAGCCGAAAGCGCGCCGCCGTCATCGCCCCTCCATCACTGAAGCCGAGCATATGGTTGTAGTAGACAGTCGGAAAGTCATCGTGCTAAGACCCCGTAGGACCAGCGCACCAGAACAGGAACCGCCGCAGATGAAGAATAATGTAGATCAGAAGGATCCAATCCAAAGACACACCAATGTAGACGAACAACGATGAGATTCGAGCAAATCCACCAAAGATAGATCCGCCAGAGACACACCTCCACACGCCCACCAACGGTTCTAGACGCACCGTCGGAACGGGGGCTAGGTGGGGAGACCTTTATTCCATCTTCAATGAGCCGCCACCGTCTCGTTTTCTTGAGCAGGATACAAACCCTAGCAAATCTGAAAGAAACGACTAAAAACGAAGCCCTCCTGCCGGCCCTTGCCGAGATCCACCGCGCCCCATGGCCCCAGGGCCACCAGAGAGGAGGTGGACCTACGGCGGCACCGACGGGAGGTAGAAACCCTAGCTTTTTTGTGGAGGAGGAGGAGGCGGCGGCTAGAAAGGCTTCCGTGCGGCACGCTCTGTTTCAGTCAAAACACCTTATGCTACAAAAAAAATACACTTTCGTGATGATACGTGTTTGTCATAGTAGGTCGCGTTTTCTGTCATGCATGTACATCCATGACGATTTTATGACAGAATGAAGATAGTCATACCTGTGCTGTCGTAGAAGTGTTCCATGACATTACCAAAATTATCATCACGGAAGTGTCCACTTCCATGACGATAAATCGCGCGTCACAGAAGTGCTTTCATCAAGGGTGACCGACACGTGGCATCCACCGTAAGGGAACGCCGTTAAGCTGTCGGGTCGGGTTTTGGATCCGATAACCCATTAACAGCCCCGACCAATGGGGATTTTCCACGTGTAAAATCATCATTGGCTGGAGGAAACACGTGTCGGCTCATCGTTGAGACAGTTGTCATCCACTCATTGGACAGAAGGCGCCTATGATACGTCGACACGTGGCACGGCCCAACAAAGACCCATTCTTGTGAAAAGGCCGGCCCATTTGACTTGGTCAAAAGGTGGCGGCCCGACCCATGGAAAGCCTGTTAACAGCTTGTTCGCATATAGCCCATTTACAGTCCGCTAACCCAATGCCCATTACGCCCTATCCGAATTAGGCCCAGTAGCGTCATCTGCGCCATCCAATATGATTCCAGCCCGTTTTCACTTATGGCCCATGTATGGCCCATGATGTCTTTCGGCCCATATGAGGCGCTTTGTAACTCTTGGCCCATTAACGGCCCACGGTGAAACTGGCCCGTAATGAATAGCGTATCACTTTACACCCATTAACGGCCCGTGGTGAAACTGGCCCGTAATGAACCGTGTATCACTTTATACCCATTAACGACCTGTTATTCCCTTGGGCCGTTTCCAGCCCATGTTATCTTTCGGCCTTCTAAGAGCCCATTTATTCTTGGGCTCATTTCCAGCATTCGTTTACTTATGGCCCGTTACTGTCATTTTCTGCTTGTGGGCCAAATTCAGCCCGTGGTTATAGTCGGCCCATTTCTGGTCCGTTAATACGTTGGGCCGTTTTCGTAGCGTCATCAAATACGACCTATTAATGATGGCCCATTATGGTTGTCCCATGAACGGACAATTCCAACTCTAGCCCATTTACGACCATAATGCGGCCTATTATTGGCCCATGTTTGGCCAATCGATCATACGGCCCGTATAAGGCCCATTGATGATACGACCCGTAGAAGGCCCATTGTTTCTACGGCCATTAGAAGGCACATTGTTTCTACGGCCCGTAGAAAGCCCACTATTTCTATGGCCCGTAGGAGGCCCAGTGTCACTACAGTAAATATTAGCCCATAGTTATTGTGGCCTAGTTTTAAAAAATAGGTTATTGCAGCCCTAGCAAACCACGGAAAAAGAACTGCAATGACTACAAGCAAACAAATAAACAAGAAACAAGGAAATAAATAAGCAAGCAACTTACGCTAGGCTATCACGGCTATCACACATATTACATCCACTGGGCATCAAAGTTCACCACCAGTGCAAATAAACGCGCCGACAAAAGAATATACAAAACTGAGAGCACTTCAGAAGGCACTAGGCCTGGCCAGGCCGGGCCCCCCAAACAGCCGAAGAAGCTGAGTACCTCAGTTGTGTCAACGATAGATGCATCAACACTAGATTTATGACATGATGGTGCGCACGGCAGTCCTCTGACATCTTCATTGCATCTTTGACTTCAAGTCGGAGCTGAGCTGAAGCAACCTTTCCGCTTTAAGTTGAGACTGAAGAAGTCGAACTGATTGAAGTAGCGACTGCACAGAGATTGTCTCACACCTGCTGGTGAGTAGCTTCAACTCACTGTCTTCATCAAGACATGACCTTGGGGTCAACTCGCTGTCCTCAAGATGGTTTGGCTCACTATCTTCCCTAAAGTTCTGCCTGGCGTAAGAGATACGACTCTAAAAGAGAAACAAGGAGACACGTAACAAGTTTCACAATTATATAAGAAAATAAATGGATCTGTTCTGCATAAGGAACATGTTTTTACAACTACAATTTGAAACTGGTAGTTGTTGCAAACATCCAATTAGATGTAAACAGCAAAGCAAACAACAGTGGAGGAAATGATGCCTATCCAAATCTATACTAGAACAAAGTTTGAAGGCTTGAGAAGGATGAACTTACATTACATGTTAAAACGGGCTGGACAAAGCCCTTCTCCATGTTGATGGAAGGATAATTCAATTCCCCAAAGAAAATTCTTTATAAGCGTTGCCATTATTCTACATTTTGTAAAGAGAAAATATAGATCGAATAATATTGGAAGAAACAGAGGATAATGAAGCTCAGGTGCATACTAATGATACATAATCAAATAGCAATTAATTAAGTACAGCGTTACAAGTCGAAAGGGAGAGAGGTACTGACAAGAGCAATGCAGAGCCCAATATTGTTTTGAGATCGTATGATCCTTTGAGCAAGGAGATTCATCTGAAATTAGTTTTCATACAAGAGAGAAGGTAAGGCACAAGCAGAAATTTAGGAGTTCAAATTTTGAATTGATATCATAGACAATACCTGACATTGGGCTCCCAGCAGTTCTAATAGGGGTTTGGCCACTGGAGTAGGGGTAAAGTGTGGTACAATTGGGCCTGTGTTTTCTGTGGCTGCTGATCTATCTGATTTAACAGGTACACTACCTTTTCCAAATACCTAGTTTGTACTCCTTGAGGATCTGCACTCACCCTCTTCCTTTTGGACATCTATTACGAAAGAACAACATTTGACTGGAAAAACATAGTGTGACGACAC